GATTTAAGAAATAATGCTCATCAGGTAGCGCTATGAATTGTTGTTGGATTAGATATTTCTATTACCAGATGTATAAATGAAAAAAAAATAAAAACAATGACAAACAAGGTGCAATATGACCTATTTGAGTGAAGATAAAAAAACTAAAAAATAAAAGAGTGCATGGATTTTAATATATCCGTTCAACACTATTGTGGTTACCATTGTTAAAAGCTTCCGAGCTGCTGTATCGCTATTCTTGGTAATAATGAAATGTAAAGGAATTAAATGATTGATTTTTGCGTATAGCGGAATTAGGTCCGCCATGATGTTTGAATACTCGGCCTTTTGTTGCTTGGAAATTTCTTGAATTAACGTGCGTTTAACTATAATGAAATTTTATTTAGTATCTTTTATAAGTTAAAACGTATATAATTAATAAATGCTTAAAATTTTTCTTACTTTCGGCATTTCGCACTTCATTGTCAATTTCGGTGACTTTTTGTGAGGCTTGTTGAAGTTGTTCTGCACTAATAATTAAAACTGTTTGAAAAGGACTAGGTAATATCGTAAAAGAAATAGGAGAAGGGTCTAATGCATTTGATAGAGAAATAGGCTTTCGCTTTTGAATAAATGTCATTATAACGCGTTTTTTTTTTTATTTTATCAAAATACAAAAACGAAAAATCATGCAAAAATTCATTATTCAACAGTCCTGCAGATATAAAAGATAAGAGATCAATAGTAGACATAGTAGACGTTACACGGAACACAGACTGATGAAATGATAAGATACTGATAAGAAGGTACCCGATTCTTACCCCTACTACCTTATTATATAAATGTAAATGATCAACTATCCTTCGTAGACAAGTGCATTCATTTTCCGACGATTCACGATTATCTTCTTTAACTATCAATCACCAACTTATTTTTAGCGTGATACTTAATATTTTGGTGCATTTTTTACTAATGAAGTTAGAGAGATATACTAATCTTTTAACTTTATGAATATGACCAATTCTACTTTATAAAAATTTATTATGGGTCAAATTAGTCAAATTAATTGGTCTTGCTAAATACAGAAATATTATAATGATACGTACATACGTACGTATATTAACTGTTAATGGCTGCGCTGCACGTGATACTGCACAATCAGATGCGACAAGTTTGATATTAATTCGTGATTTTTTTGATTACAAAAATTTTTCCGACACGAGTTACTTTAGTAACTGTTGGATGGTTAAGTTTTAGGAATGAATGTGTTATAATTATTTAGGTTTGGGCAATCTAGCTCCAACAATGTAAGAAGAAT